GAGTTATGTAAGAATTGGAAAGGCTCCACTGTGCCTGAGCCCAGGGTAATAAATCAAAGGGGTTTTGATCAAGAACACGGCTGCATTGATGTGTGTATTCAATAAAATTGCATTTAGGAAAAGGCATGAATTCTCTTCAGTCTCTCAGCCAGCCAGTCAATTCCTTCCAGATCTTTCAAGCTAGCTGCTGAATATTGCTTTACATGGAATATATCCCTTGTTCTTTAAAAAAACCACCAAACCCAACTTTTTTTTTGCTTTCTGTAAAAATTACACTTGGACTGAGCCTTTGGATGCTGTTAAATGCTGGATGTATTTAAGCAGATCTGCATATATAAACTGAAGGTTGTGACAGGAGCAGAAGTTCATGCTGCCTTCCCCAATTAATCAGAATTTTCACCACAGTAGTGAGAGGTTTTACATTTCCTATGAGGGAAGAGCTGATTTGCTGGACTTGCAAGTCCAGAAAGAACAGCACAACAACATTAGAAAATTGATATGTGTCCCTGTTTCTCTTTGATCTGCTGATTGTTCTCAAGTCACCATTCTGCAAGAGCAAAGATAGTGTTGTATTACAGCTTTTAATAATAAAATGAGGCACATAAATGGGTTATTAATTGGTCTTGGCAGGCCAAAGTGTAATTCTTCTGAGCAAACAGATTATCCCATCAACTTCCAGCTTTTGTTCCTTTGGATCCAGGTCCCACAGACTTTTCTCAGATTCTTTATTATATTTATTCTATATTATGTTCAGATTCTATACTGTATTTACTTAGAGGCCTTTGTGCAAATGGGAGTTTAGTGTGGTGCTGTGCACTTTTAATTTCTAGATATGCTTTTGATCCTGAAAACCATTGAAAACTTTGTCAGTGAGAGAGAGAGGATCTCACCCCTCTTGCAGCAGTGCTGAAGCCAGGACTGATCAGTGCATTCCCACCAACTGATTTCCTTCTTTTTCACCCAAAAACCCAAACCCAACAGTGCATTTTCCTACCAGAGGAGCTGTTTTGCATCCCCTCGTCTGCCAGACTTTGCTGCTCCAGCCGGCTGCTGCATTTTCCCCTGGGAATTCTCATGGAGCAGCAACAAGCTCATCCTTTGGGCAGGAATTCTTTAGGAGAGATTAAACAGCCAGAGTAGTTTTCAGTAAGTTGCAAAAATCTGTTAAAATATAGGAAAACAAGAAGTGAGTAAATGCCTGTTAGTGATGGAGAGATGAAAAATTGGAAATTACAGATTTTAAACTTAGGAATTCCTTCTGGGATGGATCACACCTGACAGAGTTATTGCTCCTGCAGTTCTCCTGTGAGAGCTGTCTGGCTCCACCATTCCTGCAAAAAAGGCAACCCCTTGGGCTTTCCCTTCATTCATTTTATGGTAGTTTTTTCAATAATGGTAATATTCTCACTGTTTTTGTCCAGTGCAGAGGGGAAGGGACAGATATTTTTATAAATAATGGTAATATTTTCAATATCTTTGTCCAAGAGTGGAGGCAAAGGGACAGATGTTTACATAACATGGCAGCAATATTTGTGCTTTTAATGGAAACCAAACCTGCCATTTGTTGACACGGATGGAAAGATTCATTTTAATCTCAGTGAACCTTATTGCCCACAATATGTGACATCTCTTCTGTAATGTTTGCTCTCAGATTTAGAGATATTTTTAAGGCTTTGCTTTGTTTTCTGTTTCAATTATTCCTTTTTTCCTAATTATGCATTTCTAAAAATAAACATTTTCAAGCTGACTGGCTCTTCTTTTCCTGCCCTTTCTCCCTAAAATTTTCTAACTCCTTTTTCTTCACGTTTCCTTGAGTTTGACTTTAGATGCTCCATTTGCAAAATAAGTTTGCAGTCAACATATCAGAGTTGCTTCCTTTTCCTCTGCTCTTTGAATATGGAGATGAAGTTTTCCTAGGCCATGTGGATTCAATATGATTTTTTTAAACTTAAAAATGGAAAGAGAGACTATGGGAAAGACCTTTGAGATCATGGCATCCAACCATACAGCAGGAAAATGTCAGAGTTTTCAGGTGGATGTGGTTTATGGGGTGCTTTCCCTGATTTCCCTCATTTTCTGAGCACAAGGGTTTATACAGCTTTTAATGCAATGTTCAGCCAGAGCTGACTCAGTCAGCACTTGGGCTGATGGATAACTCCTTTTTTCTTGTCCTCTCAAATAACACTGAGAGATTAGTAAATGTCTTCAACCTTCATTGATTTTCTGTTAAAGTGAATTAACTCCTTGAGCCCATCTGGGTTGGAGAAATAAAAATTCTCCAACCCCCAGCTGTAATTTTCTCATCAAGGCTTTAAAGTAAAACAGCCATGTTTAAACCATTTTTCTTCAATCCCTTTATTGTACTCTGAAGGAGATATTGGTTAGTTACAAAATGCACACAAATAAAATAAGAATGTGAAGCAAGAGAACTGCAAATTTCTGTGTTTCTTGCCTGACACTGATGTTGTGTATCTTGGGGCCAGCGGGTTAATTTTATTTACCTACATCTAAGCAGAGCTAAAACCTCTTCTTTCTTCAGTTATGAATCTGAACTGCCTTAATAGTTATCTGTAAACAGAAATGATGTTGAAGGAAAATGCATAAAGAGCACTAATGAGACCTGAGAGGCTCGAGGAAATAAATATTTCATTTGGTTTGGGTGAGTCAACATGAGCTCGTTCTGTACCCTTTCTAATTTCATCTTGGATATTTTCATGTAAAAACAATTGGAGCCCTGAAAATAAAGAAGATTTTCCTGATGCTGAATTCCTGCTTTGGAATGCTTCACATTTCAGTTCTTGGCTTCCAGAGAGACAGAAAAGCAGAGAGCAATGGGCAAATCTAATCTCTCTTTTCGGTGTGTATTTATTAAGTGCTGTCATTCTGTGAGACAGCCTGGCCCTTTAATGATATATTTCTATATTCTCTTGTCAACTGCCACACTGTTTGCACCAGTAAGTAAATGCCTTGTAAAGGTGCCCTGGGGAGCTATTACAGAGCAGCACAAATAATACAAATTTGATATTTTGCTCTGCTGTCATACATTCTCCCTGGCACAAAGGCAGGTTTAATACATCTGACTGCACACTTCTCACAGCGTGGCACATTCACTTGGGTTTTCCTAAATCTCTCTTAATGCTGCAAATGCTTGTTGGGGCCACTGATCCTAAATTTTTTAATTAATTTGTTTTGTTGAAAATAATTTAATATCTAGTAGCGGTTTTGGGACTTTTTTTCTGAGTTTTGGGGCAATGTCCACTAAATGCAAATCTGGGAGGTGTGGGGTTTGGAATTTTTGCTCTAAAATGGTTTTAAGAATTGTTCTTGACCAAGAGGGAACAGAAATGTGCAACAGCTTGGAGTTGAAAATGTTAAATAATAAACAGAGAATTTGCAGTGACTCAGCCAATTGAACTGAACTATACTTATGTAAAATCATTCATGAGATCATTAAAAATAATGAACAGATGCAAAGAAGTTGTTTCCTATTTGCAGACCATTCTAGAATAGAGGAAAGATTTAGGTATTAGTTACAGGCTGCTGATTTGAGCTTTAAAAGTCTCCCAAACTGCCTCATGCTTTTGAATTACACCATAAAATATGACATTTTTATCACTGAACCAGCTTTGTATGGGACATAGGTGTAAGTGAATACAAAGCTGTGCACTTGGCTTGGTAAATGAGCTTTATCTATAACATAACTCAGGACTATCAGTTTGCAGAGCACATAATTGGATCGTGTTGAAAGAAGAGTTAATTAAATGGAACTGCATGTATCCCCTTGTATTTACTGCATGTATCCCCTTGTATTTACTGAGTGAGGACAAACACTTTGGTTTGTTCCATTTTCACCACACTCCTTTTGTCCCAGCTGAGCTGTGTTTATTGGGGTGCAGAGTGGGGACACCCAGCACACCCATTCAAGGTGTCAGAACTCTTTCTCAGTGTCTCTGCAAACTCAAAGTCTATTTGATAATGGCTGTGTGCAAAAATTGCATTTCAAAGCTGTCATAAATGCCCAGGTTGGTTATTTCTGTGCTTTCTGGATCTCTGTATTTTTATGGATTTTGGATTTACCTGCATCACTGCAGGGCAAATAACTGAAAATGAGTGTTTTACTTTCCTTAGTAGATGGAGTTATTGAAGGTGCATTTTGCAGGTCTCTAGAAAATCATGTGCACATCAGATTTCTGTTGGATCTGACAGTCCTTGAGGGACCTCTGAGGGACCTCATGTAGCTTTCAGCAGTAGATCCCTGTGTTCAACTCATTGTTCTGGCTGGAAATTCAAGGCTTTGCGTGGTTCAGGAACAGATTTAGGGGAAGAAAAATCTTTCAGAGTTGTTAATCAGTTTCTTCTCTGGTCTGAGAAACAAAATAATCTGTTATTCTCGCCCTATCAAGCTTCAGGGTGAAATGGAACAATTCCTTGTGCATGGGTAAAATTGTATTCTTAGTTGGAGGTGTAACAAAACCATTTTTGTGTTGTTTGGATTCAGAAATCTGGATAGTGTGGGGTGAGAACTGGCAGTGGGTGTAGCAGAGTCATTGTGGGTGGGTACTGAGCCTGAAAAACTCTTCCTGATCAGGGACAGCCAAACTCGGTGACCTTGAAGAGTCCTGGAAGAGTTACAGGAAGAATTTGTTCCTAATCATAAGATAAACTTATATTTAGGTCTTTGTGACATCACGAGAAAAAGGTTTTTTGTAATGTCACTCTCTGTGCTGCTTTGTCCTTCCCTTGTCTCCATGGAGGTTTTGAATTACTATTAAAATGTTTAAAAATGTTGAAAATAATATCAGTGATACAAACTTCTCTCCCTAGCAGCATGTGCTGGGTTATCTAAGTTAAATTTTAATTTTCATTGCATGCTCTCCATAACAGCCCCAAAATGAAGGAAGCTTGTATTCCCAAGAAATTTCTGTATTTCTGAGCTACAGAACTGTTTCCTTGGGTTTTTCTCCTCTCTCTGAATCTGTGCTGTTGTCTTTTCTAACCAGGCCTCGATGATTGCCTCCAACAATACATCAAAAACTTTGAGAGGGAGAAGATCAACGGGGAGCAGCTGCTGCACATCACTCACCAGGAGCTGGAGGAGCTGGGGGTGACTCGCATTGGCCACCAGGAGCTGATCCTGGAAGCTGTGGATCTGCTCTGTGCGTTGGTAAGTGACTCCTTGCATCGCTCACCTTGATCAGCTGCGCTTATAAATTTACAAACCAAACTAAAACCTGAAAAACTAAACCAAACCAAACTAAAAATAATGTAGAGATTGCTCTACAGCCACATGCTCAAACAGCCTTTGCTTCAGTAAAGGACAGACATGTCCTGGCTTCTCTCAGCTGCACAGAAACTATATTTATCCATTTAATGATTATGTCTGATGGTCTCTGATTGCTTTTCCTCTGACTTTCTTGGTCCTGCATTCAAATGCTGCTGACTATCACTCCTGGCATCCATATGGTTCTGTAATTATGTGCCATATGCCCTTGTATTTCACTGACATTTGCCACACTGCACTGAACCAAGTAGACCTGAGTGGTTTAACCATGCCAGCGTTCAGAGGGATGGTACCACACAGCCAGAAGGGAATGCTAATTAGACTGGAAGATTGTTTAAAATGAGCTTTAAGATGAGACTGGAGTGGTAAAATTGACTTTATCTAAACTACAGACACGTGTGTTGACTAAAAGTTGGGTTTGGGATTTTTCAGCAACCTGCAAGCTCTTGGAAGGACATTATTTGTTCATATTATTAATTACTAGGTTACTAATTCAGTTAACCTTTTAGCAAAGTATTTGATATCAAAAAGTTGCTTTTTCTTCAGCTATTTTATTCCTACCAGCTAATAAAATGTGATGTATTAACTTACTTCAAAAGAAAAAATAACTTCTGTTCATGTAGGTGGATATGTGAAAGAATATTAAAAATATTAAAATATAAAATAATACAATTACATAGGCACGTGAAAATCATAGTACTGTACTTCTTTATCAGGAGTTCTGCTTTTGAATAACTGAGTTATCCTGTGGGAATTTGATAAAGAGAAATTGTTGCCAAGAGGGAAACTGGCACTTAGAAATAAGATAGGAAAAAAAGTGAGGCAAAATGCACTTGATTGGGGGAAAAAAATATTTAAGTACCTTTAATTCATCTTCTTTCCTGTACCTTGAATGACAAAATACCCTTGGTATGCCTTGAGATCTGCCCCTCCAAGTGAAACAGCTTTGTCAGAGCAGCGGAAGGCTTTAGGGGCAGGTGTGTGCT